ATCGATCATCATCATCACCATCATTACTATGTTGTCATCATCTGATTGAAATCATCATAATCATTGTTATTGCTATTGATCATCATCATCACCATCATTACTATGTTGTCATTATCTGATTGAAATCTTCATAATCATTGTTATTGCCATTGATCATCATCATCACCATCATTACTATATTGTCATCATCTGATTGAAATCATCATAATCATTGTTATCGCCATCCATCATCATCATCTTCATCATTATCAATATATCACCATCACCATTATTAACATTGTTATTGCCACACTCGTCATCACCATCATTATCAGTAATCACCATCACCATCTTCATCACCTAACTGCATATTTGTCCTCATTGTAATTGGCACCACTAAAATCATCATTATTATTGTCAACACCATCAACTGCACCACCATCATCATATTCTCACCTTCATCATTGGCATCATCAATTTAGCAATTGATCATCATCATTTAATTATTTTTCTAACTGGAAAAATATAATCAATATATAGGCTTTGTAACAATTCCACTTCGTCTTTGTTTTTGCTCTAAATAAAAAAAAACTAGGCTAGGTCTAATGGTATCCTACCCAAATTTTGATTTCACGTTTCAGCTCCTCTAACTCCTTTTGCCATATACTTTCATTTCTTGCAGTGATAGTTTTCTGTTTTGCTGCTCTGGTTTTCCCTCTTGGGTTTAGCATGCCGGAAGTTGGAGGTGAAGCATTCAAGTTACCAACAGGAACTAATGTTGGACCTTCATTCTTTTTATTCATATTTTGCATCGTTTTTACAATTGCATCTGAACTTTTTATATTCAAGGTTTGTCCATTGCTGTTGAGATAGTATCAAGTAATGGATTTTTTATTATAGCAATCACTTCTACGTTTTCAGTGACCCTGGAAATGAATATGCAGTAGCTATTTTAAAAAGGTTGTCAGAACCAGAAGATAGGTCATAGGTGATAGTGGATAGGTCATTCCAAGGCAAAAGGGATGATCACCATACATCTAAGCATGAATGATCAAGGTGTTTTTAAAGAATGGGCTTGTTGACTACAAGCATTTACAGAATATCTCAAAACTTAACCTCTGTGTTCTTGATGAGAATATTAGGAAGCAGAAACACAAGTCATTCCAGTCATCCTTGGATCTTGAAATGGCCTATTTCCTATCACTTTTCACCTATTGCCTAAACTAATCACCCTTTTATACATGTAATGTTGCACCGACAATTTTTTTTAAAATAGATATATACTACGGTGGATTATTTGGCTTATGTCAATCAAAATCCTCTTGGTTCTCCTGTCATTTGGGTTGAAATATGTAGTACAACACCTTGTAGTACATGCATGTAAAACTGTGTTTGCTACAATTAATTACATTGTTTGGGTTCCTCATCAAAGCAACACGACTAATGTGAAATGCTCTAGCCCACTACAAGCTAAGAACAGTGTTTTGTGTTTCTATTTTGTATTATAGAGTGATTTACTTCATTGTGAAAGAACAGTCAATGTAATACATAGTAATAGTCACAATTCCATTGTTTTCTTTTGTTTTACTTGGACTGTTACTAATTTATATATGACTTTTTTTCACGGGCCAAGTAAAATCACTCTACAGGAATAAGAAATAAGCAAGTTATTCAATACTTTTTTAGCAAATTGTGGTTGGAGAAATTATTTTTCTATATGTAATATTTGGGGTAGCCTCTCTCCTCCCTCCCAAAGGAATAAATTTGTTCCCTTTCATAGACCAATTTACCAAGGAGGAATGGGAGAGGGTGGGGGTGGGAAATCATTATCTATGATAGATCATGATAATTTTAATTTTAAAGTCAAGGTAAAAAGAAATTTTTAAATAATATTTTAAAGATAGAGTACTTCAAATTAACCCAAAAATATAAACCCCAAACCCCTCCTCCCAAGGGGATAATTATTTTTTGCAAGAGTTTTTACCTTTCCTCTAGATGAAGCCTAATACATACAAGAAAAATATGAAAATAATTGGCATCTTACTGTATGTCTGTGATAATATTTCTCAGGTTAATTTGAATCACCTCTAGATCTTAGTAAGCTCTTATTTAATGCTTTTAGCGATTGATWACTTTTTTCAGTATTGGGTTTTTAAACAAGCGTCAATATTTTTTATACAGAATTGTAAATATGCAAATAAAGGTGAAGTGTTTGATTTTGTACAGTTTTTGCTATTAGTAATTTCTAGGTTGAGTTACATTGCAGTGTTTTGTGGGGCTATCTGAAGGGACATAATTCCAAGATGGCAGCTATTTTTGTCTCCTCAACAGCCCCAAATAAAATGCCAACTTTACTTACTGTAGCTATTCTACTTCTCTTCGTGGATTGATACGGGTTTTAGAACAATTTT